CTAATCATAAATTATTATGCTGAATATGTGGGTGTAAATAATGTTATTTGAGGCACTCGTATGCATAAATAAAAAACAATTGCCTATCTAATACTCCTTAGAAAGAACGCACAACTGATCACCGGAATAAAAATAACGCAGTAAATAAATATTTAATTAACATTATATCATCAAATATCGAAAAAAGAGCAGTTTATAAGTATTTAAAATTTCAATAATATGTCGTATCTTTATTATATTTTTAGCGGCTGATTTGTAGTCATAAACATTAAAGTTTTTACTATATATATACATTGACAGTTGTGTGTTTTTTAAATAATTTATAATATTCTGATGGTGAAATAATTGTTTCAAATTTTCTTAATTTATGTTCTATTCTAACTAAAACCTGGTCGGGAGGCATATAGCTATATCATCTGATAGGAAAAAAGCAAAATCTCAGAAAAATCTATTAGATTTAAAATTGATAAAATGTAGTAAAACAGCCAATATAAATAGATTTTTATTTTGACCTGAATATGAATTAGAAAATAAGTTTACAACAATAGGCGCGTCTTCTTTGTTTTGAAATTTATCATCAAGCATCTTTAAAAAAATGTATTAATATTGATCCTACTTTATTTGATCCTCTTCCGCTTTCTGTTTCAGTTCAAGTATACATGTGGCAGTTTTGTGGGATTTGTTTTTCAGTGGTTAGTACGTACAAAAGTTAAATTATAAATCCAGTAGGTGTACCGGCTAATTCTATTTCATTACGAGAAGAAGTCCGCTTCTTTTCTAATTTGGAAGGACAAGGATATGATTGGTGTACTTGTACTCAGGGTTGCGAAATGAATAAATGCAAGTGTAGAAAAGCAGATAGACTATGCAATTCCAAGTGTCATATTTTTAAACCTTGTGCAAATAAATAGGTAGTAATAAAATTATAACTATTATAATAAAATTAATTTAATAATATTTGTTAATTTTTTTTTTTTTGTTATTCCATCAAAATATTCGTTATATTATGATATATGAATAAAATTAATAATCACTGTTTTATAAAAAAAAATTATTTATATATAAATAAATAAAGGCAGTTTACCTGATTCGATAAGGTTACGTGGAATTTTTTAAGAAAATACAAAAAAAAATTACCATGTTGATACAGTCCCGGGGCATTTATAATAAAAATTTAATGGCACATATGTATCAGTACAAGTATGGATGTTACCTATATTGTTATAGAAAACGAGACGTTACAATTTGGAGCTTAACACTTATACTAGGTATTTGAAATATTCCTTGTTAATTATTGGTGCGCACTTAAACATGCGGTAACCTGCAAACCATTTTAATTAGCTATGAAATAATTTTGTCATTATTAAAAGAATTTTAGTAAAATATTTGACGAATGTTTATGAAGTATAAAATTATTATCCAAGCAATGATGAGTGCATGAACGGTGACGGTATAGACTTCCGGTAGACAGTGGCGAATGCTGACTCTGAAGTAAGGTTATACGCTCATTTACTAGATATAATATGTGTTATAGTTCTATTTTACTTTTAATTAATTAATAGCACACAAATTTGTATTTATTTTTAAATAAAACTTTAATTTAATACTTAAAAATAAATTAATAATTTTAGTTGCGAGTTAGTCAAAATATCTAAATTACTTTCACATTTTTTTTTTTTTTTTTTTATTTACAAATTCAGTTATTTCTTCTTTCTTCTTCAACAAAATTTTCTATTACTTATCGTAAAATGTATGTTTATATTTATATAAAAAAGTGTAATACACTCGTACACGTAATTTATAACATAGAATCTATATTATGGATCAGGGGCGGCCAAATAGTCGATCGTGTTAGAATTTATTTTTAGGCTACGCACACGAAAATTAATTATGGTATACTTAATAATAAAAATTTTTTTTTATCGAAGTTGATCCTCAAAGGTGAAGTATATTTTTAGTAAATCGCGGCCAAAAAAAGTTAAGTCGTCCCTGTTATAGATCATTGATGAAGCGCAACAAAATAAGCATGCTCTGAGTGGTTTTAGTATCGCATATGCTATTGGAGCAGGTCTCAAATAACCGGTATTTCAAAACGATACATAGGTACGTATAATTTACGCACACAGCTATCGTGTAAGCATGCTCAATCAATATATATTACGGTAAAGATAAACACAGACAATCAGATAGGTACAACAGAAATATATGACATTTTTATCATACTTTATGATTTTATTAAGAACATAAAAAAATAATTTTTGTATTTATTCTACTTATGTTTTTATTTTAAAATATATGCCCGGAGAATTCGCCATTGCCGGCAGGTGACAAGTGTGATGCACGAATGCCGCGAAAAACAATATAAAAAAAAAAAAATACGTCAACGATTAAGGTAAATTTAAACAAAGAATAACATTTATTAATAATGATCTTTCCATCACAATGTTTAATTCATAAATATAGTGACATAAATATTATTTTTATAACTATTTACATGCATATGTCGTATAACCTATGCGTATAGGTTAATGTATTGTAAGTAGGTACTCATAATGACTTTAATGAATACATAATGATTAAAATATATTAAATACAAGCACGAACCCAAGATGTTTAATTGAGAGTTGAGGTATTAAATATCAATATATATAGGTAGATTATGTTAAAATTTGTTTACATCATAATTCATAATAATGATAATTGAAACTCGAAGTTTACCATGGAATTATTTATTTAAGTTGACCAAAATTGAAAATATTACGTGCAGACTATTGGTGCTTATTTAATGTTACTATAATATATTAAAATTTGTAAAACATTTTATTTTTGATGCTAGTTAATATTCAAGTCAAAATCAAAACAGAATATAGTAGTGAAAACTGGACTTGTTTAGTTAGAGGGTAAGGAGTCAAAAATAATATCTTCACAATATCTTCATTAGAATTTTGATAAAATTTGATCAATTTCATATTATTAATTATTACTTCAACTATAGTAAATTTAATTATATTGGATTCTAGAAACATGAATTAAATGTAGATTGTACAGATCATCATTCTGAAAATTAATCTAATTATCTAATCCTATAGTTAATTTTGTGGACTTGAATAAAAAATAAATGTAAGTACCTGAATCTATTTTTATAGTAATTTACATTATGATTAATTATTATTTTATCACTAAAAATCATTGTTCCATTCATTTGATAACATCATCTGGGTAATATATTTAATGGAGTCAATAATATTTCTACTAAGTAACAACAACTATATACATAGTGTACTTATAGAGGGATAAAGTAGCATGAATTAATAATGTTCTCTGATAGAAATCTTAATTGTTGCATATTTAAATATAATACTACTACCTGTTACAGTAGCATATCTTTAGGCCTTGGAGGTGAACTTCAGGTTCAGATCCCTTCTTTTTAAGTGTTATAGTTATAATGATGAGCTACAATGATATAATTTCAAATATCGATATCGTACAAAATTTACCGATATCATATCGCAATATTGTAGTTCCTGCAATATCGATATCGTAATTCGTATCGAATATATATATATAATACCTAAAATAAATAAACTTTAAAATAATAGATTAACTTCACAAAAATAATCGAAAAATTTGAAAATTTTATCATAAGTAGAAAATGTTAATAAGTATCTATAGTGATTTCGAATTCGTTATTTTTAAGTAACATAAAAATAAAAAAAAAATAGATTTTGTCAAAAATCGGATTTGTGTAAAAATTTCCGTTTATCCTTAAATTTTTATTAGTTTTTCTTGGTTATAAAAATAAGTACTTGGAATTTTAAGTTTGATCTCTCTCGGATCCCTATAAAATGTTAAACTACATACTACTTCGCTCACCTAAACTTTAAATAGGTAGGTATATACATATAAACTCATAAACCACTCGTCTAAATTTTGATTTTTTAATATTTTGCTTTTGAAATAATCTGCAGTGTTATTCAATAGAAGAATCACTTTGTATAGGGAGCTATCGATCATATTGTCTTGGTGAACGACGTTGGCTGCGTTGCATTGTGTAAAACATATTATGTATGTAGCCCCGTATATAGCTATATTATTTAACCCTAGGGTTAAAAATATGTTCTCGCCACGCCAATGAACGCGCGGTAGGTCGCCTATATACACGTATATAATATTATACCGCGGTGAGTGGTCGTACCAGCCATATTAACGCGGTGTACAAATATACGGTGCATAAATATAGTCGCGGTGAAAAGCTGCTGCAGCGCATATTGTTCACTAACGATCGGAGAGGCGTCGAGAATTTTTTTATTTTGTTTTTTTTTTTTTAACGAAAATACCGCGCGTTTTATACACAAAACTATTATTATTATTATTATTATGCAAATCGTGCGATGTACTGCAGGTACGCGGAAAAACACTGCTGTGCAGAGTGTAAAGGAATGACCTGCGTGTGTATATACGTGTATACCTACGGCTATATCACATTGTGTACATACTTTATAAACTCGTGCTGCAATTATTATTATTACGTATATTATGATAATAACGTAGCGGTTGTGCGTTGTGTTCGCGCCGAGACGGCGTTTAATGGGCGGGTGAAGAACGAGTGCTCCGACGGAGCGGACGGTGGAAAGTGTGAAGGGGGGAGTGCTGCGGTTTCGGTACTCTTGTCAGTAGATGGCGCGGTGGACGGGGGAATAAAAAAAATAAACCGAAGAAAATCAACGACGAGCCTGCACACATTATCGCCGCCGCCGCGCTGTATTTGTGGGCAGCGTAGAAGCGGCGGGGCGACGGAGGTACGCCCATCCGATTGGGCCGCGTCGAGCTATCGGCCGACGGGCGGCGGGGAAGGGCGAGATCGATATCTGGACGGCCGCGCCCCTTCCCCCGCGACCGCGGCTGGTGGGCTGGGCTCGACGAGACCGCGGCCACCGCCACCGCAGACCGTCTCGACCTGCGCACTGGCGGTCGCCACGTTTTAGTACCGCGACGTAAACTCGACTGACCGGCCGCACACGCCGCGCACACATCGCACACGCACGTCGTACGTCGCACCGCGCACACGACGACCGACGGCGACACAACCGCGCAGGTATATACCACCGTATACCAGACCTTCAACCATATTCAGTCGACGACGTCTCACGGGCGCGGTGATCTCATTCGTTTTCGGCACGTCCGTTCCGTCGCTACCGTCACGTCGTTTTATTTTCCATAAACAACATTTTTCGTATCACAAAGGCAAGCGATATGGTCCACGAGACGACAACGACGACGGCAGCCGACGCCGCTGCCGTTCGCGTTTGACCCGCAATCCAATAAAATTACGTTCCGTTTCGTAAAGCGGTTTTCGAGTGTTTTACCTCGTCTCCGGCACAGTTGTACCCGAAGAATATCAAATTATTTTTTAGGACCACGATCTGTCCGTCCCGATACCGTATACCGTGTTGTGGATACCTAGATCTATACACTTGCAGGTGCCCTCCAGGTATAATAATATTTTCGTCGTTCGCCGCTCCGTCCGCGCGCGTTTTTCGTTTCGCCGGCCGACTAGGTACGGTAACAGATACCTTGTTACCGGTAATAATATGATAATGGGTACGGCCAACCAGGAACAGCATCCCGCCAGCGCGATCAAAAAGCCCACGGACTTTTCGATCGACGCTATTATGCGTAAAGATGACGCCGCCGCTGCCGCCGCAACCGCTGCCGATTCAAGACACAACATTATGTTCGGTAAGTGTCAACATATTATCGTATATTATATACCTAGTATACCTATGTATCTGGTGCTTTTTTTTCGTTTGATATATAGTATAATATGATTTTGAATATCCGCGGTCTATAATATTAACTGCAATATCGACTTAAAAGAAATTTAGTATTGTTATATCACAATATTATAACTACACGGTACCTTTTTATTTTGTTTTTTTTTTAAATTTCATTTTGGCGTTGTTTTACTATCTAATAATAATTATATTATTGTAATCGAATCAAAGCTAGAAATATACCTAGCTCATTTAATTGATTACGTTTGATGGTCGTGTATGTTAGGTATGTATAAGTACTTATATAATCCTGTATATTTCTATGTATCTATAATACAGAAATATGTTAACATTTTTGTATAAATTTCATTTTTATTTTGTTTCGTTAATATTTTTTATAAATATAATATATTTCGTTGATTGAGTATGTAGGTACCTAAGTATTTATCGTTACACGCTATATGTGCCTCAGAAAGTCGTACAAGCAAATATTTAAATATTATGAAATTAATTTTAGAGCACTGTAACAAGAACAGGGATAAATTATATAGTCCTATAAAAATTATAAAATTTTATCATAATATTCCTAATTTAGACACTACGATTAAACTCGGCAGAATTCATTTAAAATATTTAATGCACAGTTTTATAATTTAAAATGTAGGTATTATATATTACATAATTGCATTGAAGTAGTTGGGATAAAATTATTTTTTTCTCTAATTCATTTTATTTATACAATTAAATACTTTATTATTTTTACTACAGTCGTAATTATTATTAATTTTAATATTACCCATATGATACATACGTATAGGTATTAAATATATATATATATATATCAACTACAATGCTATGCCAATTAAATTTGATTATTTATGTATTACTATTGAATTTCATTCAGGCACGGAAGGTGAAGGTTCGATGGGTGGAACTGAAGATTTGGACATTGAAGTGGATGTCGTTGAGACTTCGGAACCGGAAGACTTAGCCGCCAATCGTTATCATCGTCGTTCTTCGGTGGATGCGGGCAATGGAAAGCAGAATGGCTCAGCTAGTGGTTCAAAGAAAAAGAGATGCCGAGAAACGGTTAGCGCTTCGTCTGAAGATGGTGACCGGACACCGCCCCCACACGATTCTGCACAGGCTACCTCTAAGAACCAAGCAACAATGTTAGCAAAATGTACCAGTCCAGATTTGGCATCTACGGAATGCTACCTCGAATCCGTTTCAAAAGAGCTCTGGTCAAAATTTCACGAACTGGGCACGGAAATGATCATCACCAAAACTGGAAGGTATGCATCATAAATGTAAAATAATTAAAAATACGATTTAGCTTATAACTTTAGGTATTATAGCGTATTTTGTCGAGCGTATGATTAATTAGGTAATATAACGTTCGGTATATATTGGTATTTCACGACAATACACACTTCAATAGTTATATAGAACTTTATACATTTAAATATTGGTATATACTAAAATTTCCAAACCGTCATTATAATTTTTAGTCTATATTATGTATATATATATATATATATATATATATTATATAAATGTCTTGTATGTGTGGATAAAGTAAAATACATTTTATATTATATTTTTATTTTATAATATGAAATAATAAACACATTTCTATATGAAACTATAAATAAAGTTTGGAATTTGAGGTTCCTAAAATAATCAAAATAATAACAAAGTTTAACCACACAATAAATCATTTTAAAACATTTTGATTTAAGATAATATTATTCATTATACACTATGGGCAATCTTAAAACAATAAAATATAAATTCAGGGCTAGTTTTTCCATTTGTGTCGACCAATTCAATATATCTAAGATAATACAAAATGTTCAAAGAAAATTAAAAATTGCAAAGTAGGTAGTGTTAAATGATAATATCTTAAGTATTTTTATCAGTTTAAAATTAACTAATGAATATTTAATGCTTATCCAATGATTTCTTAGGATTTACTTCCCTTGATTTTTTTTTTATTTTGATTCTAAGTATATTAAATTATTAAATTAATATTATATATCTAATATTAATTTATTTCTGTTTGAAGTCTACAATCAAACCATATGACTATTTGCAACTATTCATTTAAATTAGTAGCTATGTAAAATTTGTACAAATTTTCTACCTGTAATAGTACAAATACTGCCCTTCATATTAAATGCTGCTACTGCTTAAAGTAGTGTAAACGGTTTGCGCTTTTCATTTTCTATAATATGTAACTGTATTAAATGTACCACAAAATATTTGAACTAAAATAAATTGGTGTAGAGGTTCATGTATCTATATGATGTATTCGATATTCATTATTTAAACAAAAATCTAATCTATTTTTATCTATTTAGATACTGATAAAATTAAATAATGTGAAAGTATACTATTTAATTTTTAATTGAGTTTATGATTTAAATTTTATTATGCTGTTGGTACCAGCTAATACCTATATATTCTCTTACTTGCTTGCATTTATTAATTTCTTAAAAAATCATTACTGTTTTTAAACAAAGGATAGAAATACGAAATATTTGACGCGGTCATAAAAAAAAAAAAAGTTTATTTTACCTATTATTGATTTGGTATCATACATTTTGAATGAGTTCAACAAAGGACAAGGAATAAAAGAATAGAAAAATGAATCGCGTGTTCATATGTATCATGCATCGTTCCCTGGCACACACATTCATAAATATATAAAATTATACACAGGACAAAAGTTATTATTAATGACGTTTTATCAATGTTCCGAACGATCCGCCAACAGTAATAACTAATAATCTATTTATTATTTATAACTATTAGGTATATTTATATATTATTATCGACTTGGGTCATTTACGGTCATTTGAATTTTTATAATATTAATTCGCGTATACTCAATAATGCAATACTGTAAAATCACATCCCACGATGACATTAGATTTTACATATTTATACGCACGATATTAAGTATATTGCCATGAAACTACAAATACCTATTATACATGCATCATAGTAGCTATTTGTATATTATATACTTCTTATTTATACTCCACACGTGATAAATTTCAAATCAAAGATTGCACATGTAGTATTGTAATAATACTTATAAATTATAACATAATTAAATATATATAAGTAACTATAATATTCTATAAGGCGCAGTCAGACGTTTTGTCGATCAGAACTGTACATATTATGTACTCGTAGATATGATAATTTAATATCCCTATTCGACCATCAATTTTCTTGATAAATAATCGTGTACATTTAAATGTAACAATGACATTACTTACATAATATATCTAAGATCTAACCATACTGGTTAACCGCTTAAAGCAAATGGATAACTCGAAGAGACAGATCATAACAAAGGGGGGCAGTCACGCGGTTAGAACTCATCGATCATATTATCATGTTATAACATTATATTCGGGGTGATCCATTTAACTTAAGACACTCATTATTTCAAAAAAACATGTTTTTAAAAATACTTCTTTTACATGATATTTTAAGACGTTATATAACATTTTTAGAAATGAATTTGTTTTTAAGTTTTTACTCTTTGAAACGGTAACATACATTTTATTGATCTCATACTTTAAGTCTTTAAAGAAAATAGGAGTACTTCATTCTATAAAAATCAAATTTTGAACAAACAGTTTTTTTTAGTGATGATTTCAAATGAAGAATAAGGAATTTAAAATGTGTTGCTATTAACAAAAAAAAAAAACATTAAAATATTATGATGAATATAAAATTAATGAAAAATGTTGTTTTCTTAACGACGTGACATTTTGTACAAACATTTTTTTTCGAAAGCGTTAAATAGTTTTTTAAATAATGAGTGGTCTTACATTAAATTGGATTATCCGGTTTGCCTATATTATATTATTCTAATCGTGCGTTACCGCAGTCGATCTCACCGCTGTAGGTCTTTATCACACGCGCGTATATATAATATAATACTATGTAGGTGCGTATAGGTACACAATATACGGCGATATATATATATATATATATATATAGTACAACGCGCGTGTGAGTGTGTATATAATATGACGATGATAAAATAATAATATAATGCGGCGAGCGGCTGCTGCGGCAGAAGTTAATAGTCCTCGTGAATTCCTCAAACGCCATAGCTGGTATAGGTATCGGTGTACGGCGCGGACGATGGTCTCTCTCGGAGGCGCGAGCGCGAGATGCCGAGACAGACTGCCGCGCGTATAGAACGTATTATATATTGTGTATATTTTGTTATTATATTATATACATTGTGCATATGACGTTTAATGCGTGTGTGTGTGTGTGAATGTTGGGACCAAGAGAGTAGCAGCGGGCACACACACATACACGCTCGCTCATACATAAATACATGTATTTATATCATATATGTATGTGTGAGTGTGTGTTTTGACGTTGTTAAAAGGCATATAATACAAGCGGCTATTGTCCCTTTCATGGAGAGATGATAAAACCACGCTCGTCGAGACCTCACACCGCGCCCCATCGGTTACGTCGCGCGATCGTCGTCGTCGTTTATATTGTGGCTAAATACTTTGCGTCTCCTGCAAGTGTGTGTGTGTGTGTGTGTGTGTGTGTGTATACAACTATACACAGACACGCATACAAAACCGTGCACAATTCATTGTAAATAAACGATGGCCTGAGTATTTTTACGTTTTTCTCTCTGTGTACTCACTCACTCTCTCACTCTCTCTCTATCTTTCCAACTGTCTATTATCGCTGGTATCTTTCCTCATCCAGGACTATTGTCCGCGGGAATAAGAGAAAACGTCACACGTTGTATACCCCAGCCGTATACGCAGTGTGCATCTAATAATATTAATATATACCTATAAGACCCGAATGCACGCTGTGCAGACGTTTTCCTCAGTCCGCTAACAAACCTTTCTGCCCGCGGGGATGCAATATATCGTCTTTCGCTGCAGTTCGTCGATATATGTACCTAATAGGGTCTATATAATATCCTTTCGGCGTAACACTATCGTTACCCTTCTTGTAATCCTTTGCCGTCGCCGCTGCCGCCGCCACCGTGCAATTCAGGGTGCAATTCGTGCGCGCGACAATATAACTTGTTACAAAACGATCGATTTTGCCCGCTCGACAATGTATAATATATGTATTATAATACATAGTCGCTTTAATGCGTTTGTCCAACATACCTACTGTTTTCCCTATATATATATACCTATACAACAGTGATGACTCGGCCGTTTTTTTATTTTTCGGATGTATATCAATCGAGAGTGCTTTACACGTATACATAATATAATATGATAATACGTACGATAAAAATATTGTAGGCACATTATATTGTGTTTGTGTTTCTAAAAAAGAAGAAAATATTTTATATAAACCTGCATTGAATGTTTGCTTAATCCCTAAGGTGCGCGCACTGTAGGGGCGAGTTTGTCAGTCTTGTAAACGTGATACATGGCACAATGATTGATAAATTACCCACAACGCTGTTCTCTGTGTCTGTGATGTCGAGAACACAGAAATAATAACAACAATATAATGTATAATAATCCCCAGAGATATGCTGCAGCGACGTTGTCCGTGCACCCTAGCTGCGCGATCTGACTGTCCACAAGACACCCCCAAAACTTACATTTTTGGCCGTCCGTCTACAGGCAGTCGCGGTAATAGATATTTGCATAACCGCAAGAATTTTATCGCATTATTTGTACGTTCGACTGAATACGAGTGTATATATAATATAAGTACGCATGTGTCTGTACAGGAAAATATTATGGCATAGGAGGGTAGTAATTTAATATTATATGTTATATTGTTGCAGAGTACAACAAAAAAACATTCTACAGATTAATATATTATCCATAATAATAGGTAATAATATAAGCTATCACATCAGTCCCGCCTGTTTATTTCATGCGTTTTTATATTTGACATGAGAATGAGATACACGAAGTTATGAACAGACCAAAGTGTTTGTGTTTAATTGTGTGAAATCATTTATATTATTTAGTATACCTATATACAATAATTGAACATCAGACATGTATCTATCCATGTATATAGGTACTGTAACATATAATATGTGTTATGATGGTTCAACGTTTAATAAGATCGATTTTAGAATTTCAATAGATCTTGCACGGCATGTACATATTTTTATTCTTCATGATGAGTTTTGACGAAATTGTATACGTGCTCGGTTATTGCGTAGTATTATTTTTGATAACTTAAATATATACTAATCGTTTTAAATGCAACAATCTTAAACTGCTCAATAAACATTTTATTGATATCA